TTTTTTTTTTTTTTTTTTTTTGTCTTTTGTCTTTTTTCCGTGTCCGGCAACGGATCGCAACCCTCAGTGTTGCCCCCGTACCGGACCGGGGACCGGCAACGTGATTGCAACCTTCGGCGTTGCTCCCGCACCTCGCTCAGCCAGTGAGCGGGAACCGGTCTGTATGTGGGATCCGAACCCTCGGGTGGGAGCGCCGCCGCGCTTCCCAAGCGGCGCACTATCCAGTGCGCCACCGGGCCGGCCCTACCGGTCATCTTTAAAAAAAAAAAAGAAAGAAAGAAAAGAAATGATGGATGGCACTTGGGGAGCTGCCCCGTTCAATCTACAGTGACCTCAGCCATTCATAGCACTCACCCAGGGGCCAAGGATAAATTATTGGGACATTTGAGGCCCAAAGGCAGTAGTGGTAGTCTACCACTACTAGTTCAAGTGCCTGGGCTGGGTGGGGCCTGCAGTTCTGTCAGAGGCTACAAAGTCTGCTCCTGTGTCCTTGAACACTTCCTGCCTCCTCCGGGTCCTCCAGCCTGTGGGGTGCAGCACAGCACTGTTCCATGATAACCGCGAAGAGCCCCAGGCCACCGGGTCCTCTACTGCCAGTCTTGGGATCCTAAGCCCAGACCTCTGAGGTTGTGGTAGGTGTGCAAGGATTGCCTGGCGCTTGGGGTGGGTGTGAGGCCCAGTGTGCCAGGGACAGGACCACCCTCCTAGCTGCGTCGTGTCACACCCTGGTAATTAAGGAATCCATGGGTGACAGTGTCAGCTCTCAAGGGACACCTGCGTCCCCTGAAGCGCGCCCACCGGGCTCGCACACCTAGGCCCACGTGGTCCAGGAGACCCCCGCCCGCGATTGAGGTGAGCGGGAGCTGGACGCTGGGCAGAGAGACCAGAGTCCCGCGGTCCCAGGGAGCGGAGGCCTGGACGTGGCTGGCGGGCGGGGAGGCGCGCTCCCAACCGGGCGGCTGAGTGGAGAGAAGGGGTCGGGGCGCTCCCTGCTTCTCTTCCCCTTTGCCCCCCTTAGTCCGCCT